TCGTCAAGCCTACCCATAGCCTGACTGCGATTCCGCCTGCTTCTTTCTTCCCCTCTGCAGCACTTTCAGGATCAAAGTCCAATCTCACGATCCCACTTCCGCAGCAGAAGCTACGCACAGTATACAGACACAATGGAGTCCCCAGACACATTCACACAGCTGTCGCTACAACTCGACCCAGCGACGAAATCCGTCTCTCTCCCGCACAGCGCATCGCACAGCACCACCTCGGAGCTCGAAGCACTAAACGCCCTCCACCGGTCACTCATCAAAGACCTCGAGCCACCAGCCAGCAACCTAGGCGTACCGCCCCCTCCCATGCCCGTGAACCCCAAACGCAGCGCGGCGATCGGAAAACTGCGCGAGGCAGGGAACGCGAGTTTCAAAAAGGGCGCGCTGGACGAGGCCGTGCGCATGTACAGCGTCGCGCTGGATATGGCTGTGCAGCGACCCGTCTGGGAGGCCTCGGGCCTCGTCAGGGAGGAGTTGTCCGCTCTGTATGGGAATAGAGCGCAGGCGCGGATGGGGCTTAGGGATTGGCCTGGGGCGGCGGTTGATGCTGAGTGTAGCGTTGAGCTTAAGAAGGTGGGGAATGCGAAGGGGTGGTGGAGACGCGGTACTTGTCTTAGGGAAATGGGACGGTTGGAGGAGGCTGCTGAGTGGATTCGAGAGGGGAAGGAGTTTGAGAGTGCTGGGCCGGATAGGCAGGGGGTTATCGAGCTGGAGGCGCTGGAGAAGGACGTCTTGACTAGGATTGAGAAGGCGAGGACGACTGTGTAAGGGACTGTTGATAAAGCGAGGGAGAGTAAATCGTTAGCGCGGCGTTTTGGGTCGAGCTTGAATAGCTCTAGAATCGCATGGGCTGGTCCACATCTTGTTCTGTGCATGCCTCGTTCATATATCGTGACGCTGATGCTACTAATGTACGGAATTAATCCAACGTAGGCGCAGGAGCTGGCTGCACCGCTTTCGCAGCCGGCTGTCCTCTTTGACCACCACCACCTCCGCCTCCTCCGCCGCCCATGAGAAAGCTGCCCATCATATCAAGCAACGGGTTGCTCTGACTCGGAATCTTGATGCCAAAGTACATCTCGCCAATCTGCGCGAGGGCGTCGTCCCACGTCCCAGCCTCCTTGATATGTGCAGCATACTGGCTCTTCAATTGACGGAACAAGTCCGCCGATCCACGCTGCACCGCGAGCAGCAATAGCCCTAAAAAGTTGAGCAAAGGTAGACCTGGATACACACGCAGATCCGACGTCGCGGAGCCGACCTCCTGCACGCTAAGACCGGGCGTCGTTGCCAATTTGCTAGTGAAGAGCAGCATGGCCTTGTTTGCGGCGCGCACATTTCCGACTAGAAGGTATGGCAGTATGGCGCGGGCGGCGTAGAGAGGGGCGGTCGAGGGCTCGTCAGACGCATACCAGTCGTATTCGAGTGTAGCAAGAACCGCGGCCGAGTCATTCGTGCCGAGGACGAGATGCTTCTCTGCTTCGGGGGCTTCACCGTCTGTAGACATTGTCAGAGATTTGGCTGTTCTGTGATCCATCAAGATACAGGCTCACTCTCAGCAAACAAACACCCAGCAACGTGGTGCAGCTCCGGGTCTCCAGCCGGGAACTCGCTAGCCTTGGACGACCACGACACCATCTCAGCAATGAAGCGTTTGCGCGTAGGCTCCTGCTTGGGAAACGCCCGCAGCAGGAACAGCAGACGAGCCCTGTTGCGCAAGTCCGCCGGCAGCGAACCCTTGTTGTAGACCTCCATCAAGAATAGACACAGGTCGCCACCGCTGCCGCCCTGGTCGGCGCGCATCAGCATCGTCGCGCCCTGCGACAAGACGTCCACCGCCGACTCCCAGTCTGATTGCTTGACATAGCGCGAGGCGATCACTCGAAGCTGCTGGTGGGCTTCGTAGAATTGGCCCTCTTCGACTCTGTGTGCGATTATCTGTTAGCTCAAAGAACTGCTTCGTGAGGTCTGGTAAGCGCACTTTTGCTGCTGTCGCGCTATCGTCTTCTGAATCTTGGCTGACATGCTGCTTGCGGTCTCTCTCAAGGCGCAAGGGGCATGTGTGTATTGGTAAAAGGCAGGATGGCGCAAAGAGGAAGCTCTTGTAGCGGAATGACGTTCCTGGGGGCGGTGGGCAAAGAGGGGCGGAGATTCAACCAGCCCCCAGTCTTTGCCCATTCGGACACACTTTGGTCAATTTGTTTCGCATCACGTTTGATACACAGAAACCAATCACAACATCTCTTGTATGAAGCTCTACGTCCGAACAGCTTGTCTACTTTCACCGCACAAGCCCCTCCTTCGTGATCAGATGCTTGGCCTTGCTGCGAGATCCGCCTTGCGCGTGATCATGCCCTTCGTGGCCCTCCTCTTCCTGCTCAGGCCAGTCCGGGAATCCATCATCAAACACATCCGCTAGCTTGGCAGCCTTTTCTTCCTTTGTCACATCTTCCTTCATGATCCCGCACCACGTGTTCCATTCCTCATCATTCAATAAGCAGCTGTCAAGCACCTGCTCAATGCCTCTAATGTCCAGCTCTTCGCCGATGAAGACAAGCTCCTGTCGTCGATCGCCCCACTCTCCGCCCTTGGCGATATCATGTTTGACCAGCTGATCAATCTCGTCAGAGCCCGTGAGGTATTCCTCCTCAGGTAGGGTGCAGAACCATGGCCTACCGCCCTGGATCGTCAGCATGGCACCAGCTTGCGACCACTCGCCAGCCCTCTCTGGGCGAGTGGCCATGAGTAGCTCGCCCTTAGATCGGAACAGGCGTGCGAACAGAGGATGAGCACGTTTGTTAGCCAAGATGGTTTTGTTGTCAGGCACCTCTGGTGCTGTGTCCATCTTGTCATCCTGGTCCGCCTCGCTGGACGCTTTGGTAGGTGCAGTGGACCCAGATCCTCTTGAGGTTCCCGACGATGATGGTGAGTCGGACATTTGCGCATCTTCTTCGTCGCGCTCCTCAGATTCGTCTGCCTTGTCCCCGACCTCGTCCATGTCTTCATCGCTGTCTTCGTCCTTGTCTTCCTCGTCCTCGTCATCTCCCTCGGGATGCTCAAGCTGCAAGATGAACTTGTCGTGCAAGAGCTCAAACAGTCGCAGAGGATGGAACGGCCGCTGTCGAGTATATACAAAGTTCCTTACGCCATACTCTTCCGTCTCTGGTTTGGGTGTGACGGTCTTGCGGCCATTGACCTGATTGACAGTAAGTAGTATCCCCGTCTGGAAGTGTGGAAGGTCATACCTCTCGCAAAGTCATGGCATGTAGGTCTTCCAACCAGCCATAGCCGGTCTGTGCCCTCTCGAGGTCGAACATGCCGGTGTTGACAATTTCTTTCACGTCAATCTTGCCATAGGAGCTCTGAATGACCTTCGCCCGATGATTCAACTTCGAGATTAGGTCTAGCATTCGCTTCTTGGTCTTTGCATCGACCTAGTCCTCATCAGTAAGGGTACTCCCAGTATCGGGAAAGTATCTCACCATGTCAATCTTGTTGAGCACAATCACATCTGCAAACTCAATCTGATCGACCATCAGGTCACTGACAGTTCTCTCGTCCTCGGGCACGACATCGTCCCGTCGAGAGGAGATCAGATCACTGGTCTCGAAGTCGTGGAATAAGGTGAAGGCATCGATGACCGTGCAAGTCGTGTCGAGGCGAGCAAATTTCTCCAGGCCGCCAGCCTCCTTACTACCCTGGTCATCAGTTCAGGGGTAATCATTGCGGCGAGCATGACTTACACCTGGTTCAAGACTTTGATCATAGATTCATCCAGACCATCCACCTGGTCACCCATGGTGTGTAGCTGTTCCGCCAAGCGGGCATCGAATGTCTCGGCGACTTGCTCAGGCTCGCTGATACCGCTACTTTCGATGATGATATAGTCAAACGACTGCAGCTCTGCTAGTCGTACCAGCTCCTCGAGAAGATCGCCTCGGAGCGTACAGCAAATGCAACCATTCTGTAGAGCAACCACCTTCTCTTCGGTCTTCGTCAGGCGATGAGTCTGTTTAATCAAGGAAGCGTCGACATTGATTCTTATCTGAGGTCAACGATTTGAAGTATAGATTTGCGGACTAGTGGACCTACTCTCCGATGTCGTTCACAATGACAGCGATACGAAGACCGTGCTCGCTTCTCAGAACATGCTGCAGCAGCGTAGTCTTCCCACTTCCCTGAAACGGCCTCAGTAATCATTTCAACCCGTTGTCATCCACGACTTACCAAAAACCCGGAGAGCAAGGTCACAGGCAATGCCTTGAGTGGAATCTTATTCCTTGCAGCGACAGCCGCTGCTGACGATTTGGTCGCCTGTCTGGTCCCTCGTTTTACCATGTTGACTGTCTGCTACGTTGAAGCCGATGAAGATGGAAAACGAGATGCGGATAGAAGAAAATATGAAATTGAATACACAATTCTTTGTGCGTGTGCTTACCGATACATGTGGCGTAGGTGTTGTATTGCTCCATCAAGGTACTCGCCCATCGCGGTACTCGTGCGCGAAAATGGCAAGTTCCAGACATTGGTGAAGATCAAAGACGAACCAAAGCTGCAGACCTACCACAGATCACTGAGCACCATGCGAGCGCGAAGGAAACATGGAGGGAAAAATTGTAAGCCTCTCATGGCGATTAAATGCTACATATATGTTCAGTCTGGTGAGAACGGATCGGGAAGCGTAATCCTAAATATGTCAGTTGTATTGGAGGCTTGAGGTGGACAATTGTGCCAGCGCCACACATAACTCGATTTGCGAGGACAGTGATTGGCGGGAACGTGTTCACACTGGCTATTCGCATTGTTTCTCAATGTCAGATGTGCGTAATTTGTAATTGGCCAGTTACGCCTAGTATCAAGTTTTAAAACAGTAAACTACTTGCATTACTTGCATTACAACGACTTTGGGTGACAGATAGAAGCAACGGATATCCTAGGTGATGTAGTATATAAACCAGATTGACGCCGGGTTTTGTTCAACTTACTCAGCGGCGATAGTTTAAGGGTAGAATTCAAGCTTCCCACCTTTCGGGAAGCTGCTTGAGGTCCTGGTTCGAGTCCTGGTCGCCGCATGATCTTTTGCATTTTTGCCCTGTCATTCGTTGTCCTGGTAAGCCGTTCGGTTCCTTTAATGACACCATCGATATCGGAAACATTTCAGCGCCTTAAAAGGTGCGTTTACTGTGCCATCTCTGGCAAACGTCGAAGAAACATGCCGCTGACTGCACAGTATATTCTTATTCCCCAGCGAGCATTTCTGTCCTGCGCTACTTCACTTCGAATAAAAGAAGTTACTGTAGGTGCTGGCTTTCCAGCTTTATAATTTACATCCAATATTGTATACTTATCAATTGACAACATCGTAATCATGAGCACATCGCATGAATAAAAATGGTTTACGTCAGCGGGCGAGATTGGTGGGGGAGGGGTACAAAATGCAACATCCCCGGATGTGCCCCTCACTTGCATACCAAACATACCGAATCCAGCACCAGTGTCGTCCGCAGCAATGGCAGACGGAGTAGAATACGCGGAGGTCAAGGACTTCCCCTTCCAGGAAGGCACTACTTTGCCCCTCGTAAAGGTCGCCTACAAGGAATTCAACAGCAGTGCACAAAAGATCGCCGTTATACCCACCTGTTTCGGTGGTCGGGTCTTGGACACGCTGAACTTTACCGACGACGCTCTCAAGGACTATAAGGTCATCGTGCTCGCTCTCCTTGGCAATGGAGAATCGTCTAGTCCGTCAAACACCAAGGGCTTTCCCAAAACACTAGACTATCGAGACTGCATCAATGCTCATTACCGTGCGCTTACCGAGCATCTCGGAATCAAGTCTGCAGATGTCGTGGTAGGGTTCTCTATGGGCGGACAGGCCAGCTATTACTGGGCAGCCATGTACCCGGACTTCGTCAAGAATGCCGTGTCGATATGCTCGTCAGCAAGAACCAGCGGACACAACAAACAATTTCTGGAGGGTCCTAAAGCGGCACTGGAGAGCTCGATTGACTACGTGCTGAAAGACCGGGCTCCGGCACCTCCGAAAGTGTCGAGGGGCATCCGGGCTTTCAGCAAGGCATATTCTGCTTGGCTGACCAGCGCCGAGTGGTTCGACGAGGAGTGCTATAAGCAACTTGGTTACGATACCCTGGAAGCCTGGGATCGCGAAGAGGTCGGAAACGGTCCCGCTGGCTGGGCGGAGGATGATCTGCTCATCTTGCTCGGCATGTGGCAGAGAGGCGATGTCAGCGTTTGCATTGAGAGCAGCAAAGGGGACCTCGATGCTGCCCTTGCCAGTATCAAACCTCGAATGTTGATCATGCCTTGCGAGACGGATCAGTACTTTCGTCCACAGCCCAGTGAAAGGGAGGTGAAAGCACTCCAACATGGAACGCTGCGAGTGATCCCTTCAATCTGGGGCCACATCGCAGGTGGAGGCGCCAACCCAAAGGACACCAAGTGGATGCACGACGAGATCAGCAAATTCCTGAGTACATAGAAAACAAAATATGTATACACACTTGACGGCCTCTCAATAATTTGTCGACGCGCAGTGCTTTTATACGCAAGATAACCACTTAACAAATCACTGCGGATTCAGATGCCTGCGGGGTACCAAGTGACCCTTTACGGCCCCCGCAGCGAACCACATTTGCGTAAACGGTGGAAACAATTATTTTGACCACTGCCCGCGTCTCCGGTGACTGCCAGCTCTCAGTCTGCATGCTCGCGATTGAACAATGACAGCCGTCACATAAATAAAGAAACAGCCGTAGCGGGTGTCCGGTCAGCTCCAAAGTCAGCTCCAATGAGTTCAAATGCGCAGTGGCTCTCGTTATCGCTTACCAAAATGGCCCCAAGACTTTAGTCACAGATAGGCACGCTTCTCAACTCAATTCAAAATAAAGATGCCTTCCGAATGCTCGAACCCGTCACTCCTGCACGATACAATGGTCCCAGAAATGTTGGCCTACTCTCCTCGCCAGGACTCATCTATTATTTCATCATCATAGAAGCCATTCATATTCGCAAATGTCACGCCAACACCTGTTCTGTTTGATTCGCCAAAGGACGATAAAACCATCTCTGATTGAAGCTCCCGTTTTGTGTCGATCCTGGGCTCACAGTGGAAGTGGGTGAGCTGAAACCGTACGATGATCACGACTGCAGCGCAATCGTGAAGCCATGCTAGAGGATAGTTCTCGCAATGTGGCTTGTCGGTGTGAAGATGAACTATGGCTTGTGATCTGCCGCGACATCACAAAGGTAGGCAAGGTGGGAAGGGCCCGCTGTACAAACAGTCGAATCACATGCTTCGAAGGTATGGGTGATGTGGACACACATTGCACAACTTCACTTGCTCACACGTTCCACCTTGGTCAATTGATATTCTAGCGTCGTGCTTTTCTGCTTGAGATCCCTAATCATACAGAGACTCGGCACAGACTCTGCTAGATACATGGCATAGCTACTACACCTCCGTCATGGCCACGAATCGACGACTTCGCCATCAAGACGCTTTCGAGATTGATGTCGAAGAAGCGGCTGCGCTGATCTCCACCTTGCCTGCTCAACTCATAAGACGACTGATACCACTCACCGGGTTTGAGGATGCAGGAATGAGCGATGTAAGTGACTCGAGATGCACCAGTTGATTGTGGGATGTTAATATTGACAAAAGAAGTTCCTTCCAGACTATTTCGAATTGGCGCTGCCGTCCCAAGCTCTTGCAGTACAGAGGCAAGTAGTCAAGCAAGTGGAGCATTTCTGTATGCATGGCGATTGGGCAGCTTCTCCATTCGGACCCATATTGGGACCTAGCGAACCAAATCACGCTCATTCCCACAGCGAAGTTCTAGTGCAGGAGGACCTTAATATGGCAGACTTAGATTTGTTGAACAGTTACGACAACTTCAATCTAGTTACGCCGGGAGCAAGCACAGACTCGGAATCCGGCTGGGCAGACATCGACTGTATAGGCGACCACGATGCTCCGGACAGGCTTGCCTTCGACCTTGATGAAGCGACAGACGGACGACAGTCGCACGCAATCGAGGATGTCGACCTTTCAGACGAGCTAGACCCGTTCCTTTCTACCTGGACTCCTATGACTCCGCCAAACAGTGGCCGTAGAGATGCAATTCGAGACGCGGATATGAACCAGAGCAATACTTCAAGGAGCCCATTGTTCGCCCCGCTTGGATATGCCGACATATCTTCATCCAGCGATATCGGATCAATCTCACTCTATTGCACACCATGTTTTAGTCCCGTATTGGAAGACTCTGGGGGTCAACAGCCTCTTTCCTACATTGGCGTAGAGGATGAAGACCTGAGAGGAGCCGGTTCCCACACCACTTGTGCGTTGGATGATGTACCACCGTTGGCAACTCGTGGTATTGGCAGCATCCCGGATTCACCACTGCCAAGCGATCGAATTCAAGAAGCCAGCACTAGTGACGTGAATATCCCACAAGATATACCCATGCCCGGCTCAAATTTGCGTCGCGCCCTCTCAGAAGGCTTTACGCCGCAGATGGATGCGCAGACCGAGCCAAACCTACGCAAAGCTCACCACAGGGAATTTATGATGTCGATGTCAGACCGGGAAACGAATCTGAACATCAATAGGAACTCGTCTCTTCGCTCCAGGGTTGCAGATGCTCCGGATAGGGTAGATGACACGTCCCTCAACGGCTTCGCAAGGGCGGCCAGTCTATGCAGCGAATTGCGTGCGCTCTTGGAGGAAGAAGAGCATGCGAATAATGCAGGAGGAGTCTACACATCGTGCGATGGTGGTTCACCTACGCCTGCACCCTTTGATGAGATGTCTGACATCGGCATGCAAGGGGCATGTCCTTCACCAACACCAGTACAGACAGCCGGGAATCGCCAGGGGACACCGATGTCATACAGCAGTGTGCGTGCAAACTCTTGCACCCCATCAGTCAATGACTCAATTGCCCCAGCGACTGGACCCCAACTAAGCGACACCAGCAATAGGATGCAACAAGATGGCCCCACCAGGAAAGGGAAAACGACTATACTGGGAGACGCAGCTTCTGTTCTCGATTCCGACGCGAGGTGGATGCATCCCATCGAGGCACTATTAGAAGATCTCGTCACCGCTCTGCCGCGGATGAAGATCTTGAACCACGGCCTGGCGGAACGACTTGCGGAGTTCATGACCAAATTGCAGGAGCTGGTCGAAGATAACGAGGCTCTGAAGGACCAGGTCCGAGAGCTTTCCATGCGCTTGGATACAGAACTGGCAGCGCAGCGCAATCGTCATCGGAGAGAGATGGCGGACGTGCACAAGGCATTGGCGATCGTGCAAAAGGAGATGGCGGACTTGACTAGGGAGGTTGCGACCCTTCGAATCTAACACTGCCTGAAGCGAAACCTTTTGGAGATGGGAGCGTGTCTGCGGATTCTGGAAAAGTCACACGAGTGAAAGACGAAAAGCGCGGTGGTTGTCACAACATGATCTATTGATCTCTCATATCAAACAGCAAAGAGCTAGTCTGGCATGCATGTCTCGATCCAGTGCCAGAAGAGCACACCAGCAAAGGCCAGGACCTGGTGCTGCATGTACCATGAGCAGGGTGAGCTGAGGGTTATTCAAAAAACGATGCAATCCCATCTTCTTGCGTTTGTGCAGAAACCCCGTAATTTCCAGTGCCAAATCAGCCCAACGCCGAGAACCGAGCCGTATCCCAGAAACAAAAAGATTTGCATTTTCTTTGAATATTCCAAACAGCGTATCTTCGTAGCATCACTCCATCGAACATAATGACTTTCAACATTGCCGAGCACCTTTTCATGCCTGCGCCGTGAATCGCAGCCTCCGCAAGCCCATGCCGGAGCGACCAGCCTCGCTGGCACAGCTGCCGACGTCGGAAGCGCCCACGCCACCTAGTGAAGCCTCGACCATGCCGGCTTCGCGTCCGATAGAGTATCCGGCGGAGAAGCTGATGGCGCTGAGTGCCACCACGACTCCGGCGCTGAGCACCCAGGTCAGAAGCGTTGGGCTGACGAGCATGTCGTCAGTGCCATAGGCAGTCGAGGCTGA